ACAACTTAACAAACATACTCTCTTTAAGCCATAATGAAAGCTGTAAACCTTCACAGGATAAACTACTTTTATTTGATTGTTTACGGAAAATTTTGTGAAATTTTACCGTCGCTATGTTGGGGGGGAAAGCAACCTGGTGGTAAAATAGTTTACTTTTCACAACTGAAAGCAAGGACTTGTATTCCTCACATTGGTCACAGTGTATCAAGCCATTATTAATGTCCCTATGTCGTTTGTAAACCAAATGTGGTTATTTCAAATACTTTGTTCAGTTCAGTGTTATGTTATATGTTGTGATTGATACAAAGGTGCTTCAAATCTCGAGGAACTGTTTTACATCATAGAAGTACGTTAATGAAATACGTTTGTAGTACTGATTTCATAAAAGTCAGAAACGTCAAGCTTCATATCCGTAGTCAGTTCCGTACAGTGCAAGCTGGTAACGAGAGTTGTCTGATTTTGGGTTTGACAATCGCCGATTATCGATCCTCAGAACAAGATGCAATAAACAATATCATGATAAATATTATGTACCTATTCGTTGCAATATGGGTCCGTGGGGTAGCTTTGTGGTGAAAGACGTTCGTATTTCGACCCGGGTTCGATTCCCAAAATGTGGGAAGCTGAGTTTTGCATCCCCTAAGAGTGGCCTAAAACAATACTCACTTTGCAATAGCGTCATAGGCGGATCCAGATGTTGGGTGCAGGGGTGCGCACCCCCTCTTTTGTCCTGAAAGTTTATTAAATGACCATTAAAACTCGGGGTGAGAAATGAAGTGTGCACCCTCCCTTTTCTCAATAGTGTGCACTCCCCCTTTCTCAAAAAGCTGTATCCGCCCCTGAGCGTCCTTTCCGCCTGGATCAAAGTACATGATAAAACAACCCTCCAATCGAACGACGCTCATGAGCTATAGAAGTTATGAGAGAAAGTACATGTGACCGAATGAGTTATGAGAGAGACTTGGATGGTTACGTCGTGTCTGATACGAGGCGAGATGGTGGATCGGTTCAGGGAATAAATCGTATGAGAAAAAGATATACCCTAGATAACCAGGGATGCGTTTTGACAAGTCAGATCCTTACTTATGGTGAATACATGCAGCAAACAGGATGACTTACCGAAACAAAGTGTGTTTCCCTGGATAAAATGCCTGCCTGGAGAAAGGAGGGCTGTAGTTGGCGTCATAGCAACAGACGTTAAAAGATGGTGCATGTATACTTGTTGTTACTCTGCCTGCCGATCAGCATTGTGGGGGAAAAGGAGGATTGGTTGGCGTGGAGTCGGAATAATGTAGATCAAGGTTTGAATTTGTATTCAGGAACTCACGCTTGTAGTAAAAGGCGACTAACGGGATCGGGTGGTCAGGCTCGCTGACTTGGTTGACACACGTCATCGTATCCCAATGGCTTAGATCGATGCTCATGCTGTTGATCACAGGATTGTCTGGTCAGACTCGATTATTTGCAGACCGCCGCCATATAGCTGGAGTATTGCTGAGTGCGGCGTTAAACAACAAACAAATAACAGTATAATGTTTTTTCAATAGGGTATAAGTGTTAGCCTGTAGCTTGGTGTCGCAGAGAGCGAGGGCTATAAAATCACTAGATACTAAATCAGCTTCAGTTTGGCCTAAAGTACAAGCAGACAAACATACATGGATACATGTAGGTATGGTAAGTGCAAGAATCTTAAACACGGCATTAAACTCACTAACACCTCTCCTCACCAAAACAGACCGCCTCCGTAGTGTAGTGGTTAGAGCGTCCGCCCGGAGAGCGGAAGGTCGCGGGTTCGATCCCCGACCGCGTCATACCAAAAGACGTTAAAATATGGTACTTGTTGGTCCCTGCCTGGCGCTCGGCATTAATGGGTACAACAAGGACTGGTCGGCTCAGAGTCAGTATAATGTGTCTGAGTGGGGTATTCATGCTTCACTGCGGCATGGTATCTCAGTGGGCTAGCACTATAAAACCAGCTTCAGTCTGGGCTAGTACAAGCAGCCGCACATACACATACACACGCATGCACGTCGTCATATGAGCGAAATATTCTCAAGCACGACGTAAAACCCAGTTTCACCTCACCTCACCAAAACAAAACTCAGAGCCAGTGTTCAGACTGAGAAGGCGTAATAAAGTTTTATACGAGATAAAATAGCCAGCACCGCGCACCAAAGTGGTATTTTAATTAAGGAAAACCAAGTTCTATGGATAGTCAACTTCTTTATTGCAATAAATAATTACTGTTTCGGTGTAGATACTGACACCGTTATTAAGCAAGTGACTGTCCATAGAACTTGGTTTTCCTTCATATTTACAACATCTGTAATGCCTCTCAAAGAAGGTACTTCAGTCGGTTGAAATCCGCCAACTTCCAGGGAGTACTCTTGTCTAACGTAGATTTTATGTATGTAGATCATGTACATACAGTTATGTCCTGGGTGAGACGGGTTCAGATGAAATCGGAGTGCCATCAATTTATTAACCCATAGAGAATGTACAGGACAACGAACCTCGCGGTTTCGTGTATCGGGCGAATGCCTTAACGCTACACCATCATCCTTGTTAAGGTGCAAGTTTCAAAGAGGTAAACATAAACATCATAAACGAACCCAGCAACTTGTTTACTAATACCGCCCTCACTAATCAGTATTAACAGTAATGGAACACTCGCCTAGGCCGGGTTCCTCAAAACGGTCTCAACGTTAAGGCGAGTCTAACTCTCATTATTCAAACACGCTGTATTACAGGTTGTACATACAGGAAGGCTAGACTAACGCTTAGTCTTTGAATATATATAATTTTGATAGTAACAAACAAACGCATTTAAATTAAAAAGGAACCCCAGCGTGATGGGTAATACAAAACCCGAGGAAACCTAGACTTGCTTCATTTAGAGCAAAAGCATTGCACGGAGGGCTAGACAGTAGGGAAAATAATGTGGTTCAGGGACTGTGACACAGACTAACGGGAAGACTAGATGCGACAGTTTGAAACACATTTCGCTCGCTTCTGAAGAAAACCATTATCCAGTTGATTCCCAACACGCAGAACTTCACTTTGATGTTTTTATGGGTACGAAGCAGCTTCTCCCAAAATATATTTCTGACAAAGATCCCTATATGTGATAAAAGTGTCGGTTCCGTAATTCTGTTGGTTCGACATCTCTTAAGACGATATATCTGGGACTTCTGATAGGAGGTTTGTTGTTTAACGCCGCACGAACAGTTATAAAGCGACGGCCTGTAAATAACTAGGTCTACCCCAGACAATCCAGTGATTGATATGAAGAGTGACGATAAAAGCATGTTGGTTGATGCCGACTTATCCAGATCGGGAATCCCAGCGAAAGTGAAGCTCTCTCCACAGGGACAGCACTGTTCCCTATGAAACCATTGCTACGGTTTTATATGAAGTAGTAAAATCATTGTTACAGTGGTGTACGTAGTAAAATCAATGTAACGGCTGTGTGTGTAGTCAGATCATTGTTACGTTGATATGTAACCTGTGAAATCACAGTTGCTGTTATATGTACATCGTGATTTGTATATTTGTTACCGTGTAACATTTATATAGTGAAATCATTGTACCCGTGTTACTAGTATATGTATAGGGTGAAATCATTGTTTCGATGTCATGTTTCCATGGGGCTACAGTGATACTTGCCATGTGTCGATAAGTCGCGGCATGACTAGTACAAACCGAACCCGACAAACATTCAAACGTCGATAGTATTTCAAGTTCTCAAGGTTCATTGTAAATCTATTTTCACGTCAAAAGGTATTTCTAAAGAAAAGAAAAACACAGGAAGAAAAGTCAATAAACGATCTACCTGGAAACATTAATTACATTTTGATGCTTTAACAGTTTGACAGGCATTTTTTAGAAGTTGAGTACAAAGTAGACAATTTAGGAGATATCTTTTACTTAGGAAACTGTTATAGCAGCGTTTAGGTACTGATCGATACCGCCTCGATCCTTCTTATTCACACCTATGCCGTTGTGGCAGAAACGTATAAAGGTCTATACGGATACATCGCTGTTATTGTATAATATACATGTTATTATTCATAAATTGTGTGTAATTTGAAATATGAGGTATATCGTAAACAGTGTTTCTTGCAACGTGGTGAACGAGCATCCTCATCACATCAGCTGGGTTTATCGTCTCTCTGTGGGAGGTTGAACAACACGCAGCATCAGAATCCGTGAGGTGCATCACTACCTCTTGGTACTCAGTGACGCGGGATGTATCTCTCACACTGATAGTACTGAGGGAGGGTGTATGGGAGGGGAGTAAGAGTGGTTCTACTCACCTTTCAGTCATGTACACCTTATGCCTTTAGATCTTCTTGATAAATCCAGACTTACTTCCAATATATGAAAGATGTTTCTAAGGATCTGCATAAACAACGCTGATGTTTAACATTGATGCATTAAACCAGGCTAATGAAGATATTTCATATCAAACGCGCTTATGACTAACTTTGTTATTTTCTTAATAAGCTCGGTAAATGCCCAGCTTTGTAATACGATATTTGGGAGTTCGTAGATGAGCTGAAACGTCTGTGGTTAATCAATTCTAGATTATTCTCAACGTGTTGACCAAAATCTGACACATGCGTCGAATCACGTTCATTTTCAGGTTGTATTCTAATGCATGGCCAGGTTAAACATCCCAACTTGGTGATGTGAATCTGCGACGAAAGTTTTCGACGGATACATTAAAACATCCAGGTGCCCCAGTCAGTTATATATTATCATAAACAATCTGTAAATCCCAGAAGAAACATTCCCAAGCTAATGAAAGTTATAAAATGGTTATAAAACGAAGGTTAAAGCTGTAACGTATTTTGTTTTTATTTTACAGAGATCCAAATAACGAAGGACCCTAACCTGAACTGGTTATGATATAAACTGGGATGAATATGATGGCTTATAAAACAAACAAACGTGTATACTTATAAGTTCGGATAATAGATAATGTCAGAGTGGTCCTTTTCACACTGGCGTAGTATTTCACAACAGACAGTTGTTTAACAGTCATCCTAGCCTTGTGTTATTGTCACAGTCCATGTCGCATCCGTCGACTTGTCTTTCGGCATCGTGGTAGTCGGAAGGCTGTGTACACGGCCTCCGTCCTAGTAGCCATCATTTGACCAAGTTATTTCGTACTCTGATCCGAATTTTCGCTGAATAATCGCATGCGTGATCGAGTGATCAGCTCTTCCGTATCCTTGTGAATAGCCATATATGTGAATGCTCTTCTTGGAGGGTTCGTGATTGATGCGTCCCCCTCCAACACACTCGCAATCCAGTCCCCTTGCTTCGATGTTTGGGGAGAATTTGTCGTAAATGTCAGCGTGGAAACATGCTTTGGAGAATCCACGGACAATGTGCTTGAATTCACGATCCTTTTCAGGGTCGTGGACCTTCATTAGAATGTATTTGAATTTTCCACTCTTATCAATTTCCACATCTCTGACGGCGAGGAGTTTGGGATTCTTGTAGGAACCAGCTGTAGCAATGTTTGCAGCCATTTTCCGATGCTTTCGAATCACAGTACTTGTCCAAAAGTGTTGGAAACCGAACGACTTGTGGTAGGTATCGGTATAGTGTTTCCTTGTGACACGTGGTGATCTTGATCTTGCGAGTCACACAAAGAGAACGAACACTCTGAGAGCTGTGAAAGTTTTCACAGACCTAATATTCTCATGCCCACAACAGACAACGGAAGCCAAGTAATGTATCGCAGGTCGGGGTTCGCATACTCGTCTCTCTGATTGGTTGAGGCTGTTCTTGAGTAGAATGAATGAATCCCGACTTCGGAGCTTGCCACACCTGTTACGCTGTGTGGAGCTTTACTCTCTAACGTGGGAGGTTGAAAAGTCAACAAATATGGCGGCGCTGTTTAGGTGCGTGGTCCGGGAAGAGCTGTACCCTTTTCAAGGGGGTTTGCAGTTCTATCGCGACGAGTTATTGCTGAGGATTGTAAGAGTTTCTTACGTTTTTGTCGACATGCAAACCACTCCTCGAACTTGAGACGTTCCCTATGCACGTGAAATATTTACCGGTATCCAACTGAACATGTTGTGATAGGAATGTCTGAAGGTCATAATCCGAAAGGAAGGAAACAATTTTAGGAGAGTCAGTATTGTTGTATCTAAAATGAAGACAATATGTAAAACATTCGCCTTGTTTGTTCATGTGAATGGGAGCAAATGTCTTGTCACGAGCTCACCGGTACCACTGAATGTTGGAGGATTGACTTAGAGTTACCTCCCTTTTTAAACACAAACTATGCTTTCAAAACCAGAGTACTGGCTTTTTATTGATATATTATAATATGCCATCATGTTTATGTATATTTCGCCACTTTATTTACTAATATCATACAAAACATTTTCTAATGGGACTGAAAATGAAGAAATTGTGTTTTACAATATTGAGTGATATGGTGTGGGAAGGGTAGATAAACAAACTCGTATTCCAGCCACCTTGGAATAGTGCTAAGGGACCGTTCATAATTTATGGGTGGGGTGATGATGATTTTTTGTTAGAAGCATGTACAATATGAATGACCCCCGTAACATTTATGTACAAAATAAGTGACCCCCCCATATCATGTACGGCCTACCTTTAGAATACAGCACCACAAACTTTAAAAATACGTCATAATACCCTTTTACGTAATGTGATGTGATTTTGTTCGAAAGCACGTTCTCGAAACAATGCCTTATGACGCCTGCATGGCAACACGGTTGTCTGGCTCAGCGAGTGCGTATAAGCTCCGCTCACTGGTGTTTCATCTCTACGAGCTATGTCATTGCATAAGCCCAACGATGTTGAGAGTTTCCAGTAGTTGTATATCAAGGCGGATGCTAATATTTTGCAAGCACCAGTTTGAAATATTTTTCTTTTTCACTAATATACTCATATTTATTTGTATTACGGGCTGCTGAGGTGTTATGTTTTGTGTATTTTGTATTTTTTAATTTTTTAAATTTACATATATATATTTGTCATTCAGTAATTTGCACCATTACATAGAAAAGTGTTTTATTAGTATTTTATTTTTCGAAGGTAATAATGCATTACACTAGACACGCCAGTCGTTTTATGCCGGTTCGGTCAATGCATTCTATTTATTAGGATTAATTCAAGGGATTGGGGGTTAGGGCTGTAGGGCTAGGACTAGGACTAGGACTAGGGTTAGGGTTAGGGTTTAGGTTAGGGTTGGGGTTGGGGACCTAATGCAATATATAGTAGGTACATGTCCGGTGGTTCGGTCAATGCATTCTATTTATTAGGATTATTTCAAGTGGTTAGGGTTAGGGTTAGGGCTGAGGGTTTAGGGTTTAGGGTTAGGGTTAGGGTTAGGGACCTAATCCAATATAGCAGGTACATGACCGGTGTAATACGTGAGTACCATTTGTTGTTTTTCCTTTTGCATTTTAATACTTTTATTTCAAAGCCGGTGGAAACCAAAAACGCCGAAAAGTACATTATGAAATGGGTTAATGTAGACATTTTGGGCTAATGGAAATTGGTCTGGAATTTGCACTCAAGCCTCTTTCACACGCAACATAAATTTTGTAAAGTAATGATTCAAGGCTAACTCCACCGTACCGCCACACTACATGCTCATGTCTCCCTCGTTCCTTAGTGCGATCCACATTATCCTTACAGTGTTCCCTACATCACTTTTCTGTCACAAAATCACCGATTTATATAAAGCCGCCGCCATTCATGCATGCACCGTGGAAATCTACGCCTGACGCCAACAACCCTTTTCAGTTTGAGGCATATCGCTCATTCCACGCCACACGTTAATTTGTAGATTACGGAATGGGACGAGTGTGCCAAATGGCATCGGATCCATTCGCAATTGTCCGGAGAATAAAATCACGAGACACCAAGTCTACCCGTAGCATTCTGTGAATTGTCCGTGACCTATTCGACTCTTTCCGTTCATTTCGTGGCGTCACAGGAATGACTTCGATAAATTTGCACATTGTGCAACAGTGTGGACGTAGCTCAGTCGGTTAGCTGTCGAGCTAACAATCCGAAGGTCGCGGGTTCGCGTCCGACGGGTTCTCACAAACTGGTTGCTTGTCTTAATGACACGTGACCTACGGCAGAGATCGTCCTCACGAGAAGTTGTGGTACTGTATTCTAAAGGTGCCATTACAAATTTAGGAATATCAATACATGATTAAAAGTTAAAACTTGTCTGAGATCCCACTGAGAAGGGATAAAACTCTAGTTTTAGTCTTTATTGGATCAGCCTAGATTATATTTAGCAATTAACTGCTGCCCTTTGTGGGTCAATTTTATCATATACCTACAGAAAAAGGCAATTATGTATTTTTCCAATTATATATTGTCAATTATTGAAAATGGACCAAAACTCCAGTGATTTATGTTTGGAGGAACAATATATGATGTCTGGTTAGGATGATAACTTTGTCAATGATATTTTCCCCCTTTTTCCAACTAGATATAATACATGTATTATACTTATCAGTATTATTTAAACATTTATAGACCTGCATGGGTATCAATAACATCAGTGAAAGGTTCATGTGAAACATATGATCGGAATATTGAAAGTGTCCCTTGAAAGTACTGAACTGGTATACTGTTTATCTTTTACAGTCTATGGTTATGTATACTAAAGATTCAACTTCACTGGCGCTGATATTACCATGCCGAACCTCATGGTTTAAATTCTGTCATTACTTGTTACTTACTGTGTCGCCTGCATCACCAATTGTGCTTGCAGTGTTGCCAGTATGGGGCTCGGTGGGCGAACTGGCTAAAGCGCCAGGCTAGTGATCCAGCGAGGTTGAGGTGTTGGGATCGAGCCCACCTGTGACCGGGTGTAAAAACCTTGGAGTCAACATTGTGTGCAGACTCTTTCAGTGTTGTCACAACCCCTAGTGTACAGTACACAACCCTGTGCACTTAAAAGAACCCACGAATCCGTTGGTATATTACCAGATGTTGGCCACATGAATACGTGCAAACACCTAGTTGCGGGTACAGCAACGTGCAGTGAACTTGGACAAAGTACTGTGACTATGTGTCCCAGTCCACCCAGCTGTGAGTGGGTACCTCGTTAGTAGTGTTGGGAATCGGAAACCAAATCCACTATCGACTATCGGAGGATTGTGGTGAACGATTATCGATTATAATCGAAATATATATACATTTTTATTGTAATCACCAATGTTAAGGGGTTTTCCACATTTTTTTCTAATTAATGTGTTTTTAATAACTAATGCTGTCATGCAATGAAATGCACGCATGCAAGAAAGACACTGGAATTGTAATTAAACAATAAAAGTGGTTAAAATTTTACAATGTGCATAGCTTTACGCTGTTGAGCGCATGTTTGTTCGTGAACATTCGTCAAATTTGATGGTTAGTTTACTTTATTCAAGGGTGCTATACAAAAACCGAAAATCGAAAATATATTTTTACAATCATTACGATAATCATTTTAAATCCTTCTTTCGATCGATTTTCGATTATTTTCGATCATCGGAACATCACTACTCGTTAGGATGAGAAAGCCACAATAACTCGGTGCGCCTAGTGGCTGCAAGAGTTGTATACTCCACAGGGAGTTGAGATTGATAATAAGATGTGCCGTTGAGATTGACATCCAATGATCGAGGGAAAAAAATACCTCAATTGTTGATTGAACATGTTGAACAACCTTGTACGATGTCTATAGTAGACTTCCATTTTGCAGTGCCTCAGACACAACATGTGCGATGTATGGGAGGCCAGGTCCCATCTCACTGGAAGACCGACAAACAAATAGTGGAAGAAAACAAAGTGACCATGGACTTTCACCCGGTGCCTGAAGGGTCTTGGAAGGAGGGGTACGGTCGCCGGAATGCCAGGTGGAACATCATGCTGGGGGCCAGTGCTGCAGTTCTAGGCATTACATATTTTGTGGTAAGTTTCATTTTGGACCAAAAAACCCTTGAAGGTCCGGGTTAGAATGTACCTGCAGTAACCCATGCTTGTCGTAAGAGGCGACTAACAGGATCAGGTGGTCAGGCTCGTTGACTTGGTTGGCACATGTCATCGGTTCCCAATTACGCAGATCGATGCTCATGCTGTTGATCACTGTATTGTCTGGGTCAGACTCGATTATTTACAGACCGCCGCCATATTGCTGGAATATTGCTGAGTGCGGCATAAAACTAAACTCGCTCACTCATTGGACCAAAAATCATTTAGGGATTGACAGTGTATATTTTCCCATTCTGTGAGGCATGAATTAAAAACTGTATGACTCTGTGGAGTAGATTTTCGATTTTTACATAATTTGATGGATAAATGTATGGATAATGATTGGGTGGATGGATAGATGGATGGTTGGACAGTGTGCGGGCAATTAGATGAACAATCAACCAGGTAAATACCTACCCTTCTCAGCACACACACTCCTTACCCCCTCCCCCTAAATAAAAGACACGAACACACTCACCCCCACACTGAAGGCCTGGGTTTTATTATCCACGTAAGCACAGCGTATGCAAATCTTTTTTGCAGTGAGCTTGTTTGAATATTTTAAATGCAGCATAAGATAACACCGTAAAGATCATTCTTGATGTAAGAAGAACCAAATGGGACATGGGTACTCGCAGTCACTGACTTCGTAAAGCATGTCACTGTGTCCTGATTACATAGATGATCATCGTACCCATGCGGGGAACCGAACCTGGGTCTTCAGCATGACAAGCAGACACTTTAACCATTACCCTACCAGTCCGCGCCAGTCACAGCATGCAACAAGCAACTGACAATTGTTGTATGATAACTTGAATGTTGTCTTGTTTGCAGCTGTGGAAGTCAGGCGCTGTGTATCTTCACAGCACGCCTCCGTTATGCAAGGGGAAGGATTCTGCTGATGCAGCAGGGGACGCATCAGGGACCCAGACAGAAAAATCACCTGACACAGGTACATTTAGGAGATAAACATGTGTTGGCTAATTTCCGGGTGTTATTGAGTATTTGAAGCATGGGAATTAGTGTTGGGAATTGGTTAAAATCTTATAATTGATGATTGGTTCATTACAACCGATCAATCATCGAAAGAAATTGGTTAGCGTCATTAATGAAATTTGTTAATGCACATAAAAATAAGGAAAAAACATGTAGTTCTTTTTGTTTTTGTTGGCAAAATTTCACGTCTTTAAAGGATAACTAGTATGTTAGGAACATAAATTTCTTGGAATCTTTAAGATAAATTCAATCATGAGTTGAAACGAGCTTGTAGTGCTTATGAAATGTAACAGACAAAACCAACCTTGTGAAAAATATTGTTAATGAAAACAAGTGTTCCAGAATTGTTTGTGTTCGATTATGAGAAAACATGATCGATTGCTTGGTCGTTTAGTCATTGCGACCAATCCTCGATTATTTCAATTAATCGTACCACCACTAATGGGAATTCATTTGGAACTGACAAGGTATCTGGCCAGCATCGGAGTTTTCAAATGAAATATTCCCTGGGACATCTGTGCTTCAAATACTCAATAACACCCGAAATTGGCAATCACATGATGTTTATCGACATTGTAAACACAAAAGTAAACCAAAAGGTCCACACACGTTTTTGTGTCTGCACTCATTGACATCGAGTACGGGTACAGCAGTGAAATGTCATCAGCCGGCCGTTTCGGCTGTCTCCCATGGTGGCATCTGAACTGCTCATTTGTGACGTCATTCGGACTTTACGTCACATTATGATTTGAATGACATCATCACAGCTGACGATGTAACAATACAATGGTGTGAGCGATGTTTGTATGTTTTAATACGCAGCGGATTTCCGGGAATCGAATACCATTTGATCATGTTTTCAACCAATCAGATTAAAGAACACAGTGACTTTTGGTTTACAATGTTTCAAAACATTTGTGACATGTTTCAAAACCCATTCTCTAGAAGTTCGTGAAGTCTACACTAACCCTTCTATCCATTACCCTGTACTTGTGAGCACGAACTACTGTTCCAAAAGGGGTTGTAGGGTAGCCTAGTGGTCAAAGTGTTCGCTTGTCATGCTGAAGACCTGGGTTCGATTTCCCACATGGGTACAATGTGTGAAGCCCATTTCTGGTGTCCCCCACTGTGATATTGCTGGAATATTGCTAAAAAGCGGTGTAAAAGCAAACTCACTCCTTCACTGTTCCAAAAAAGAAAGAAATGTGTCTCATCGTTTCAACCTTGGTGGTTAGTTCTTTCTTTTTCCCTTATATTTATACAGCTGTTCCTAAATTTTCTACATTTTCGGTTTAAATCTTCAATTAGAGTTATCTTTACTGCGTGAGTGCAGTATCGCATATATTTCATGGCAGTACAATGATCGTGTAGCTTTTTATGTATTGAAAACATGTGGACATATTTGTCATTTTGTTGAGAGGTTAGCTAACTATCTAAAAATGTTTAATTGAACCATTTGTTCTTGTTGATATAATGGAATTATCTTCGGAAATATTTAGAGGCATGACATCAGATTAGCTTTTGAAAGGGCTCCACTTAATGCTAATGACAGATTTACCTCCCTTGATGTAAAGCTGTCAGGTGTACACCTGACTTAAAACAATATGTTCATTATACTTTTGATTAAATTCAAGACCATGTACTATGAAATATTTGTTAAAAATAAAAAACGAAAAAATCCTGGTTTCTTTTCCAATTTTCAAATCTGCAATTGATGACAAACAATTTTGGATGTGGCCCAATGATTCACTGACTCGCTGAAATACTCACTGAATGTTATTTGATGACCTCCAGGAGCGGCACCTGGAATTGACTGGAGCAAGGTCCCTGACATCCCCAGCCACGCCCAGTACCTCCTTATAGGGGCAGGGACTGCATCTTTCGGTGCCTTCAGGGCTATCAAGTCCAGGGACCCCAAGGCCCAGGTTCAGTGTCTTACTGTTGTCATTTCAAATGTTATGTATCATTGTGCATAGAGTCCATGCTGGAACTGCTCTGCAACAACCCATGCTTGTTGTAAGGGGGTGGTCAGGCTCGCTGACTTGCTTGACCCATGTCATTGTATCCCAACTGCGTAGATTGAAGACTGGATTCTTTACAGACTACCTCCATGTAGCTGGAATATTTCTGAGTGCAGTCATAAACAACAAACAAACACATTACCACTACTATACTGAGCTGTATCTCTACTTAGCTTCTTACTAGGGGTGTCTATTGAAGGGGAAACAACTATAGCAATAGTCTAGTTTTTTCTCCTTGAATTGTCTCATTTGAAGTCATTTCCCAAATGAATGTATAGTTTATATGAAATAAAAACAAGCTGAAGTAGTTTCAGTCTCTTTTAAACACAGACAAGAAACTTGAAACCCAGATCAAGTTTGTTTAAGAGGCAACAGGGGCAGACAACTCTTAATCAAAGAGAATGCATCTGGTACTTGCTGTATTTTGCACTGTGTTTTCATCACCAGAAGTCTATTACTAGGCTATCGATAGCAACATACTATCAATAGTTTTTCGTTTCTACCATTTGCTTCCAATTGCTATTGGAGACTCAACAATTGCAATCGAAAGTTTTATGCATCATTGTAACCCTACTAGTTCCTCAAAGCATAAAATTATCATTATATGGTCAGTGTCTCAGTTTGCACTTGCTTATCATTATCAACTCCCTGGGGAGTGTACTACACAAACTGCCTTCTAAGAAAACCCATCTCAGTCTGACTGTGACATGTCAACTCCATCTCATTCTCACAGTAACCATAGCAACAGTATCTCAATCTTGCTGTAACATGCTAACACCATCTCAGATTCCTCTGGTACCACGGCAATGTTGTGCTGCAGGTGCTCCTGATCGGTGAGGAGAAGCGCATCCCGTACATGCGCGCCCTCCACTGTCCAAGGAGATGTGGTTCAGTGAGGACAAGGAGGGGGTGAAGAAGCTAAAGTTCAAGCAGTGGAATGGGAAGGAGAGAAGGTAGTACCCATGTAGGGGATGCCCTTGTAATATCAATCTGTCTCCCTTCACAATGCTCCATCACCCTGCACTCGTCCAGCCTTAGAAATTTATGACTGTTGGTAGTATTAACCCTGATCTATTAATCCACCAAATTTGAAGCTAATCCTTCTCAGACTCTTTTTTTTACTGTTGATTTTATTCAGTTCCAGTTTGTAGTGACCCATGAAGATCCGGGATAGAATAGGTCTTCAGCAACCCATGTGCTTGCCATAAAAGGCGACTATGCTTGTCGTAAGAGGCGACTAACGGGCGACTAACGGGATCGGGTGGTCACTTGGTTGACACATGTCATCGGTTCCCAATTTCGCAGATCGATGCTCATGCTGTTGATCACTGGATTGTCTGGTCCAGACTCGATTATTTACAGACCGCCGCCATATAGCTGGGATATTGCTGAGTGCGGCGTAAAACTAAACTCTCTCACTCACTCACTCCAGTTTGTAGTAATATTTAAGCCCTGAGAACTGGTTGAGAATTGTGTCCGTCAAATGTTATAGTCAGTAAGGACATCCATCCTGAGGCTCACCATCAAAACACCATATGTTCAGGCATCTAATATCTAGAATTCCCCATCACAAGTTTCCTTTATTGTCATTGGCAGTACCCAAGTGATACCTTCTTGTTTTGTGTTTGGAGCAACAATATTATAACCCCATGTTTTCTGCTCCAGCCTGTTCTTCGAACCGGGAGAGCTTCTATGTGGAACCAAAGAAACTGTCCCACCAAGAAAATGGTGGTGTCGCAATTCTGCAAGGGAGAAAGGTAACATTGGATTTTACAAGTCTTAGACAAATGTCTGTTGTTAGTATTTGCCACTAGAACCTTAGTGTCTGTGTAATACCTTTGAGGTTTATCTCAGAGCTACAGATAACATTTTGGGTCATTGACTTATGTACTTGTGTTCAACTCAATTAATTTTCCCTTGAGTAACCAAACAAATTGTACTCACCTCACTCAAACTCAATTGGGTAATTTTTCCATTTTCCATAATTGTAAAATATAATAAAGTTTATATGTTAATGTTTGTTATTTATATTTGATCTGTATTATGAGAAACAATAAGAAAGACTACAAGTTGCCAAGTTCATGTCCTGAAATAGAACCTCTCAATATACCTCGGTTATTTTATCTATCCACCGGTACGCAAGCTAAGATTTGACATTTTTGTGTGTACGCATGTAAGATCACATTTACTGGGTATTTACAAAAATTCAAGCGTACTTGTTCGCAATAGACTTAATAGGAATTGAGTTTTCACATAAATATTTGTGTAACTTATACAGATACGAGCTTATTTGTACCTATGTATCTTGATGTATAGATGAATTATGAATATGTATTGGAGAAAAGGAATGAATGTAGGCAGGAGTACAGATCACTATCAATGAAAGGATGACAATGCTGTTGGTTGCCATGACCACATGGTTTCTGTGGTGTGGTGTCACTCTGCTGTTGGTTGCCAAGGTCATATGGCTTCAGTGGTGTGGCGTCACTCTGCTGTTGGTTGCCAAGGTCACATGGTTTCAGTGGTGTGGCGTCACATGGTTTCAGTTTTGGTGGAAACTGGAATGGTAGTGATATTGTTTCAGTGGACATATACCGTATTTCCTCCTGATAAGTGCCAGGGACATTATTTCGGGGTGCTTATTTTTTCAACAGACTTCCAGACCTGGCACTTATTAGAGGCCCAGCGCTTTTGCGCTTACTGGGTGTGATTACCGTGATCGTTAGTGAGCTGCTTTATCCCCAGCACTGATTAGAGGAAATACGGTAGGTCAGTATACATGATATTAGTATTAGTGGTGCTGCACTGACATTGTATTTAAAGCAATCTATGCTTGTTGTACGAAACATGCAGTGGTCAAGCTTGATGACTTCAATTGCGAATGCCATTGTGTCCCAGTTGTACAGATCATTAGTCACCATGTCAATCACCGGGCTGCCTTCCCAGGTTCTATTACTCACAGACTGCCACAATGTCAATCACCGGGCTGCCTGCCCAAGTTCTATTACTCACAGACTGCCACCATGTCAATCACCGGGCTGCCTGCCCAGGTTCTATTACTCACAGACTGCCACAATGTCAATCACCTGGCTGCCTGCCCAGGTTCTATTACTCACAGACTGCCACAATGTCAATCACCGGGCTGCCTTCCCAGGTTCTATTACTCACAGACTGCCACCATGTCAATCACCGGGCTGCCTGCCCAGGTTCTATTACTCACAGACTGCCACCATGTCAATCACCAGGCTGTCTGCCCAAGTTCTATTACTCACAGACTGCCACCATGTCAATCACCGGGCTGCCTGCCCAGGTTCTATTACTCACAGACTGCCACAATGTCAATCACCGGGCTGCCTGCCCAGGTTCTATTACTCACAGACTGCCACAATGTCAATCACCGGGCTGCCTGCCCAGGTTCTATTACTCACAGACTGCCACAATGTCAATCACCGGGCTGCCTGCCCAGGTTCTATTACTAACAGACTGCCACCATGTCATTACTCACAGACTGCCACAATGTCAATCACCGGGCTGCCTACCCAGGTTGTATTACTCACAGACTGCCACAATGTCAATCACCGGGCTGCCTGCCCAGGTTGTATTACTCACAGACTGCCACAATGTCAATCACCGGGCTGCCTACCCAGGTTCTATTACTCACAGACTGTCACAATGTCAATCACCGGGCTGCCTGCCCAGGTTCTATTACTCACAGACTGCCACCATGTCATTACTCACAGACTGCCACAATGTCAATCACCGGGCTGCCTGCCCAGGTTCTATTACTCACAGACTGCCACAATGTCAATCACCGGGCTGTCTGCCCAGGTTGTATTACTCACAGACTGCCACAATGTCAATCACCGGGCTGCCTGCCCAGGTTCTATTACTCACAGACTGCCACAATGTCAATCACCGGGCTGCCTGCCCAGGTTCTATTACTCACAGACTGCCACAATGTCAATCACCGGGCTGCCTGCCCAGGTTGTATTACTCACAGACTGTCACAATGTCAATCACCGGGCTGCCTGCCCAGGTTCTATTACTCACAGACTGCCACAATGTCAATCACCGGGCTGCCTGCCCAGGTTGTATTACTCACAGACTGCCACAATGTCAATCACCGGGCTGCCTGCCCAGGTTCTATTACTCTGAGACCACCATGTCAATCACACAATGTCACTCACAGACTGCCACAATGTCAATCACCGGGCTGCCTGCCCAGGTTCTATTACTCACAGACTGCCACAATGTCAATCACCGGGCTGCCTGCCCAGGTTCTATTACTCACAGACTGCCACAATGTCAATCACCGGGCTGTTCTGCCCAGGTTGTATTACTCACAGACTGCCACAATGTCAATCACCGGGCTGCCTGCCCAGGTTCTATTACTCACAGACTGCCACAATGTCAATCACCGGGCTGCCTGCCCAGGTTCTATTACTCACAGACTGTCACAATGTCAATCACCGGGCTGCCTACCCAGGTTCTATTACTCACAGACTGCCACAATGTCAATCACCGGGCTGCCTGCCCAGGTTCTATTACTCACAGACTGCCACAATGTCAATCACCGGGCTGCCTGCCCAGGTTCTATTACTCACAGACTGCCACAATGTCAATCACCGGGCTGCCTGCCCAGGTTCTATTACTCACAGACTGCCACAATGTCAATCACCGGGCTGCCTGCCCAGGTTGTATTACTCACAGACTGCCACAATGTCAATCACCGGGCTGCCTGCCCAGGTTGTATTACTCACAGACTGCCACAATGTCAATCACCGGGCTGCCTTCCCAGGTTGTATTACTCACAGACTGCCACAATGTCAATCACCGGGCTGCCTGCCCAGGTTACATTACTCAGAGACTGCCACAATGTCAATCACCAGGCTGCCTGCCCAGGTTCTATTACTCACAGACTGTCACAATGTCAATCACCGGGCTGCCTGCCCAGGTTCTATTACTCACAGACTGCCACAATGTCAATCACCGGGCTGCCTGCCCAGGTTCTATAACTCACAGACTGCCACAATGTCAATCACCGGGCTGCCTGCCCAGGTTCTATTACTCACAGACTGCCACAATGTCAATCACCGGGCTGCCTGCCCAGGTTCTATTACTCACAGACTGCCACAATATTGCTGAGCATGATGTTAACCAGCCAAAAAATAAATACAACCTTGTTTGGTATAAAGATATACTCTTCATTTACTTTGTTTTGCTCTCAGTAAATGGAAAAAGAAGAAACAGTATTTTATTCCTAGCTGATAGGAAAGTGTGTGTATGCCCATAACAAACTGTGCATGCTACTGACTGTTTTCACATTTACCAACCAGGATCTAGATTTTCAAAGCACTCTTAGCGCTAAGATAGTCGTAAGTGCCATAAATTAACATTAACTTGCGACTATCTTTGCGCTAAGATAGCTTCGAAAATCTAGGCCCAGAACTCTTCACTGTATTCTTCTTTAATTATGATTTCAGGTGACAAAGCTTGATGCTTCACAGAAGAAAGTATGGTTGGACAATGGATCAGAAATCACCTTTGATAAGTGCCTTATTGCAACAGGTAAAGTCACTGCTTACCCCCGGGCAGTTGAGAATGAGAGCTGAAAAACATATCATCTGATCCGGAACAATTCTAGACCTCAATATAGCAGAGATAAGTGCAGTAGTCAAAGATTAGTATAGAACAAGAGTCATCAGAAGATGACATATCTCCCTGGCCCCCACATATTTGAAAGAACAAATCATCTGACAGTTACTTAAAGTCCAGCATGATTGTTTATTAGACTATGTCAAAATAGTTTCCATGGAAATCATGAAAAATATAAATGCCAAAAATCTGTAAATAGCAAAAGGCACCACTTCAAGATCTGTCTCATATATCTGCCTAGTTCTGTTGAAAGATATTGAAAGGTTTTCGAGTTGTGCTCCGGGAATGAAGCCCACCCTTCCCTTTTGAGACTAAGTCTGAATCGTTTCCATGGAAACTGAGAAAACAATAAATCACAAAAGTCTGTAAATAGCAAAAGGCACCACTTTAGGTTCTGTTTGATATATCTACCAATTTTTTTGAAAAATATTGAACGCTTTTTATAATTCCAAAACGTTTTCCATAGCTCTGGAAACAAAATGATTATGCAGACCTGGACAGATCACCACGGATGAGCGTGTTTGACTATATCCCCACATTACATGCCCGCATTACATGCCGGGGGGATAATAAAAGTCACTCACCTGTATTCTCCATTTCAGGTGGCAAGCCACGCAACTTGCCGGTGTTGGAGAGAGCTGGTGAAAAAGTGAAACAGAGGATAAACCTGTTCCGTTCAGTAAGTTGGATAGAAGATATGACATGACTGTGTGTTACCCTCAGGGTACAGTGACCATGTGTAATGATTATATGATTGTACATTTGCATCTGAGCAGTTTTCAATGCTGGTGTGTCAGTTGAAGTCATCCAATATCAAAGTGCTTCATTGTTCTGACATTGTTCTGACATCACAAATTAATTACATTGTGTCATCTGAGCAGTTGGCAATCTTGAGAGAAGTGTCTGTATAGTGTTGACATTTCTCTCTGTCTCACACAAACACACAACTCACACAACTCACACAACACAACACAACACAACACACACACAAACCAGAGGTGCCAATCAATACAACATATTCAATATTTGTCACAATTTTACACCTGAAATTACGACATTTTGATCATCATGGTGAAAGTCCGAATTTCTGAAATTTTGTGCATGACATGCTATTACTAAGACCTCAATGTCTGTGATTCTATTGAGTAATTGTCATTAATAATGCTTTCGTCCATCAAGATACTCAAGATCTCTGGTCCTTATTTCCGGTACCGGTATGTAAACTTACAGTAAACCTATGACATAACTGTAAGCAGTTACAGGTAAATACATTGTGGTACACAAGTATTAATTGGTCAGTAGGAAGGATTCCCTGAGAACCCCCCCCTTTCGGTGTCCAATCAGAAAAAGATAATGCGTCTTATGCCAGTGTATATTTTTGTGAAGGACAGTCTATTAAATAAGTAAGGCCGTCCTTTGGTTGGGGGAAATATTTGAAAAACATAAACATTTGTTGATATTTTATTGCTTTAGTTTTTGGGACTGGCTGTGTTTGTTCAGGACTGGTCACTTTTTTGGACAGCCAGTCCATGGACAGGCCATATTTCAAAACTATTTTATACACTACTTATGCAGATATAGTGTAACTATAGCCAAAACATATTCATTACACCTGCTAATTGATCAATTCATTATTTACCACAACTTTTACTGATATACCTATATAATAGCTAAAAGGCATGATATAACTGTTTAAAACGTGTTACTATCAGTTTCTAAAAAATACGATTTTTTCCAAGCAAAGTTACTATTTGGAGCTGAAAAAGGAATGGCACCTCTGACAAATTTTCATAATGCGTAATTCTGGAAATGAATTAATATGGACCACTGCATGATGCGATGGAAACAAAGAACATATGGCGGAGGTCCCAAGAGTTTAAGCCAGTGTCCTGGAAATCTGATGTCCACTCTACCAGAGGTTTCTATTTACAGATCAGTGACTTCCAGCATCTGGATGAAGCCACAAAATATGCCAAGTCTGTGGCTGTAATCGGAGGGGGGTTCCTCGGCAGTGAGCTGGCTTGTGCTCTGGGTAAACGAAGTGAGTGGACCATCGTATAGTCGGTCACCAGAGGGAGGGTGGAGTAGTCAACTGGTTATAGTGTTCGCTCGTCATATTGAAGACCTGGGTTTGATTCCCCACATGGGTATAATGTGTGAAACACATTTGTGGTGTCCCCTGCCGTGACATTGCTGGAATATTGCTAAAAGTGGTGTAAAACTAAACTCACTCACTGTGTCAGTCACCAGACGTGTTCAGTTCGATCAAATATGTGTAATTTTCTTTGTTCCAGTAAATAACTATGGACACTTGTCTATTTACACGAACAGACTGTATATCCAGTATTTTAACCATCTTTGGCTCATCTTTTTAAAACTTACAAATTAAAAAATATATTTAACTTTTAAAAAAATTTAAAATGATAATTTTTTATATTTTTTTCCTGTTGATTTTACTATAATTATGTTATTTTACTATAATTATATTATTTAAAATGCTCTATGTTAAGACAGGATTTAAAACTGAAATTTTTAAATAATGTTTTTTCCAACCTACCAACCTGGATCTTCAGACCAAGACTCTGTGACTCTGTGTACACTGTAGTGTATTGATAATCAAACGAATGGAATCAAGGGAGTGAAAAGTTACTGACACCCACAGATCGCTATCAATACCCAATGTAAATAATAAGTTGTGAGTAAACAGTTCTGGACATGTCTTAGTGTAAAAGTTGATCAATGAAAATATTTTTGTTTTCAGGCAAGAAAAATGGTATGAAAGTGTATCAAGTGTTTCCTGAAGCAGGTGAGTGAAAACTTCTATATTCATTGATGAAGTAGTGTTCCCCCTAGGATTCAGAAAGGGCAGGGTAACTTAAGCAAAAAGGGCAATTCATAATCTAAAAGGGCATTTTGGTGAGGATTATTGAAAAAATAACAATAACAAAATGTATATGAAGTCAAATGCTCTTATAATTTTATTTCTAAAGTTCATTTATTACTCTTGTCATTTTGCATTTTAAGATCAAAACTTGGAAAAAAGAGCATTTCAAGGCATTAATCTGTTATCACATTTGTTTACAATTTCACAAAACACGCAAACAACAATTTACAATCTTCTTTTCTTTCTTGCCAAGCATCTGTTCACAACTTTCTTCAAGTCAATGTCTGAAACTGACGATGCATTCAGGCTAATCATGAGAAGTCTGTTGCAATTTTTAACACTGAGTCTGTTTCTATGATCTGTCACAATCAGTTTCACTCTTGAGAACACTCTCTCAACTTCAGAAGTTGACAATCACAGTTGCATGAATGGACAGTAATTGAACAATGTTTGGATTCAAGTTTCCAAGTTGAGGCTTGAGTCTTCAAAATGGTGGAGGGTGAACTGGTGTCAAGCTCCTTTACTTGACTCCACTCAATCTGTGTTTGGTCGACATTAAGTCCATTTCTGCCCTTGGTGTTCCACTTAGAACATAATGAACAAAACATCATTCCCTTCTTTTTGTAATCTTCTGAGTACCTCGACCAGGGACGGTTTTGTTGCCACTTTGTGTCAAATGCAGTCTTGTGACCACCATCTTTGTTCTGTGTTGGATTAACTGACTCTGTCTCGTGTGCCCTTGAGTTTTCATAGGAAACTACCTCTGACTCGTCTAAGTCCGGTCTGAAAAAAAATATATACAAAGTTAATATACCATATTCAAAATATTCTTAGATATTAAATTTGCAATCATAATTATTAAAACAAACATATCACACAATAATACACCTGAATGTAAGTATCTACTGTGGAGAGCCTCGACAAGGGTGTGGCTTCCCATTGTTTGAAATCGTAAAATAGTTTTACTCCTTCAAGACTTACATTTTTATGAAATCGACACTAAACACTAAAAACAAGGCTACCAAGTGAAGCTGTTACGCAAGCTGAATTAACTATTTCATTTCCCAGGACAAGCAACAAAATAATTCAAGATCAATTTCAAATTGCCGATGGATTAAAAATGGCGAACATTTTCGAGTTTCAGATTTTCACCTAAACAGCACAGTCACATGAATATCGGTCCCCCAATGGTACCAAAATACATCCCATGTAGTTCACACATCGATGTCTTTAATAACTGAAGGTTTTATTTGAAAGGCATGTGAAATGGAAATGGAAATCAACGGCCTAAAAATCACGAACTTAGAGGCACATACCTGTTAGGAGCGAAGAAATCTATTAGTCGGCGACACTTCCTTGCTTCAACCTTCACCGCTTCTTCTCTTTTCCTTTTGATTCTTTCCTTGGTAGGCATTGTGATCTGTAAAGCGAATTAAACACCTTTGACTTCGCCATGGTTTAAATGCCAATTTCCTAATCATTATCAAAGCAATTTGCGTTCCCCCTAGAAAGGGAGAGAACTCCGTCCTTAATGAAATCCGGAAAATACACACGGGTTGTTGTAAATTGAGGCGAAAAGGGCAGGGCGCAAAACAAAAAGGGCAGGGCTCAAAAATCAAAGCGCAGGGCGCAGCGCCCTCCTAAATGTGCCTAGGGGGAACACTATGAAGTAAAATAGCAGTCAGTTGCTAAACAACTTAGTTTGCCATCAAATGTTGACAGAACAAGGTTACATGTTGATTCAAAGCTGAAACTGATGCAGTAGCTAAGAGGAGATAAGTCTGTGAAGCAACTTGTTGTGAAACCAACAAAGAATAAAGCAATATAATACACTCAACAATTGTATTCTAAAATTAAGTTTACAAATTTATACAAATTAATAAAAAGGTAGTCCACAATGTGGATTGGGTGGTCAGGCTCTATGATGTCACTGATCGCGTCAGCTTGCACTGATGGTGATGCTGGTTGCTCATGCTTTTAGTCACTGGTTTGTGTGGCCCAGAGTCAATGATTTACATGAAATTGTTAGATCAGAGCTGTCTGTGGTCAACTCACTCGTTGTTTAAATCTAGTGTTGCTGTTGCTGATATCTTGTCCTGTCTGATACAGGTAACATGGGCCGTGTCCTGCCAGAGTATCTTAGCAACTGGACCACCGAGAAGGTACAAGCAGGTACGAGGGCATATTTACAGAAGGTGGATGTGGGTTGCGCACAGCTTGTTTTTTAGACACCTTATATATTAAATTCACCCTTGACCGTGTCTCCTTGTAGTCAACTTCAGGACTTGGGTGTTGTGGCATCCTCGTCTCAGAATCCTAAATCCACCCCTGGAAGGGAGTGGTTTCATGTTTTATGAAGACAGGAAATGTTTGTGGTTAAGAAATCTTATTTGCTTGTAATAATGATTCAATCTTTATGATTGAGGAAACTTTGCTGCTTGTAATGATGCTTCTAGGGCTCAGGATTTAGCCATGAAAATATCTTTACAAACAATGGAGGAGTTGTTCTCCGTGACAGCTTCGTGTCTTCATTTTGATCCAAATTCTCAACAGTAATAGTAATAGTCCGCTTATATGGCTCTCATATCCTACTAGGCGTGGTGGGGTAGCCTGATGGTTAAAGCGTTTGCTCGTCACACTCAAGACCTGGTTCGATTCCCCACATGGGTACAATGTGTGAAGCTCATTTCTGGTGTCCCCCGCCGTGATATTGCTGGAATATTGCTAAAAGCGGCGTAAAACCAAACTCACTCACTCATATCCTGCTCACGGCGCTACGTACATTACTATCCCTGGTCATAGGACACTATCGTACTTTCCGAGACTTTTTCAACTCCCTGGGGATCATACAGCGAGCGATTTTGTCTGGAGCTATGTGAGGCCATATAGATTTATGGGAGTCCATATTTTACAATATAGTTATGCTTAGGTACACTACAATAATGTAATTTGATCAAGTTCTAAGCAGTATCTGCATATGTAGACTTTGAACCAAAAGCTTAGTACATTATACCAGTGTTAATCCATGTTTTCATTACAGGAAACATTTGACCATTGTCTCACGAAAGATCCTACCCACTGCTGCTTTTTACTTTTTATCTAAGGTTGCACTGTCTCATTATAAAGTGCCATGTATTCGAGTTACTCAGGAGTCAAAGCATTAAAGAAAAAAAGAAAAAAATAATTCTCATTTAAACATCTACAACTCTATCCTAGGCTGATGTTCTTTCTGGATCTCAGGACAGATGGGGTAAAATATTGGGCGCTGGAGTTGGGGGTTGGGTACACTATATGGAAAGTATATATCAGTCATAATAAAAGCATAGCCATATTTCTTCATTGTATATATGTCTTTTTCAACACATGATTATTAGGTAAGAATTGATTTTGTGAAAGTAACATTCCCCATGCTGAAATTTATATTTTGTGCTGCAGAGGGTGTGAATGTTATCTCAAACAAGATTGTAAATTCTGCTGAGTTTGTCAAAAACGAGGTGGTCCTGGGTCTGAATGATGGAAGCACAGTGAGTACAAGAAATAGTCACATTTATTTAATGTGTCGAAAAAGTTCAAATTTCTATAAAATTATTTACATTAATTCATAAAGTTATTATACATTCCTAGCAGAGAGGGCATTGGGGTAGCCTAGCGGTTAAAGCGTTTGCTCGTCACGCCAAAGACATGGGTTCCATTCCCCACATGGGTACATTTCTGGTGTCCCATGCCGGCATGTAGCTGGAATATTGCTAAAGGCGGCGTATAACTAAACTCACTCACTTACTCCTAGCAGAGAGCTTGACACACAATGAAAGGCAGAAGCAAAATATGCCTCAGACACTCAATGCCATGTCTTGGCTGGCCCTACAGTCTAAGGTATTACAGTACATGGTTCCAGTACCAGTGATCCAGGTTAGAATTGGTCTTCAGTAACCCGTAAGAGGCAGGATTGGGTGGTCAGGCTCACTGACCGGGTTGACACATGTCGTCGTATCCCAATTGGTGATCGATGCTCATGCTGTTGATCACTGGACTGTCTGGTCCAGACTTGATTATTTACAGACCACTGTCATATAGCTGGAATATTGCTGAGTGGTGTTAAACAACAAGCAAACGAACACACAATTTGGTGTTTGATAGACAGAAATATTGTTCAAGCTCACTGTTTCAGGTAAGTGCAGAGCAGGTTGTTGTGGCTGTAGGTCTGGAACCTAATGTGGAACTTGCCAAGACGTCCGGCCTGGAGCTGGATGAATCTCATGGTGGCTTCCGCGTCAACGCTGAACTTGAGGCTCGATCAAATGTGTGGGTGGTGAGTAAACTTTACTTTATTTTCTTTTGCTGAGGCTAATTGTTGCTTTCGGCCATCTTGTCCAATGTGTTGCTTCAATGACCGGTGGTTTATATGTCCATGGTACTATAAACCATCTCCCATGTGTCTTTTGTAGGCTGGTGATGCTTCCTGTTTCTATGACATTCGGCTGGGACGGCGCCGCGTTGAGCATCACGACCATGCAGTTGTCAGCGGGAGACTGGCTGGGGAGAATATGACGGGGGCAGCCAAACCTTACTGGCATCAGTCCATGTTCTGGTCAGTGATTGTTGGTTGCTTCATGTTACACTCGTCAGTATTCCAGCTAAATGACATTGATGTACATAATGATTGACCAGACAATCCAGTGATTGATATTATGAGCAGTGCTGCAATATTCAAGCTCTGTGACCGCAGGTCCAGACAATATTATATGATTTATATCTTGATCAATGACCCACGAAGGTAAGTTGACAAGCAATCAATCAAGGCACACAGACTGACTCCAGGTCTGTGAAGTCATTTCTTCAGGCCAGCAGAGGTTGCTGGGGAAATGTCCTTACCAGAAATCCTCACTGGGATTAAAATGAGAAGACAGAGCTTCATCTGGTCAGGCTCGCAGATACCTGTGCACACTATTTCATATGAGTGTCAATGACACATTTCATGACCCGTGAAGATCAGGGTTAGAATTGATCTTCAGTAACCCATGTAAGAGGCGACTAACGGGATCCGGTGGTCCGGCTCATGATGTTGATCACTGGATTGTCTGGTCCAGACTCGATTATTTACAGAACGCCACCATATGGCTGGAATATTGCCGAGTGTGGCTTTACACAACAAACAAAGCTTCATCAATTTCTGTTTTTGTTAGTTCACCGTCTAACATTGGTATGATTGCTGGAATATTAATAAAAGCAGCATAAAACCCAACTCCCTTATTTATATTGCGGAAAAGTGACTTCTTGCAAACTCTAGCTGTTGTCATTTCCAGTGATACCGATTAATCTGAAAACACAACTTATTGGGCTGTGAGCTGTTGAGAGGGGTGTCTGAGTTGCCTCCCTTAACACCTGACATGGAACTGGCATGTTTGAATAGGTTTCAAGTTCCGAGATTTTTTTTAATAAAGAATGGAAACATTGAACATGTTTTTTGTATTGCCTTTGTCAGAATAACATATTGCCCAGAATAACAACTCTGTAACTAGAACCCCAGACTCTTTTTAAAAGAATCAATGGGTTTTCAAAGCTGTAGCTCCTCCCTAAACCTCTTTCCTTATCTTTGTAATTTGTAGATGTCAGCCCATGTTATGTAAATATATGAATTTTTGATAAGATATTTTGAAAAATCCCAATAATGTCAAAATATAAGGAATGAAATTGTGACTGTCCTATCATCATCACTTGTATTTCCAACAGGCTTCTTCCTTAAGCCAGCAAGAGCCAGTGATATATTTAAGGTGGATATGTGTACTATCCTTTGTGTCTTGGCCTGTTTTTCCAAATTTATTCCAATGATTAAAATTGAATTGAATATTAGGACATCAGCTGACCATATTTTCAATGTGAAAACAGGGAATCTAATGATTTATATGCTGCAAATTAGATGTAGAACCAATGTGAAAGTGAAGATCATGAGAGGAGCAGTGATGGTGTGGGAGTGGAGTGTTTTATGTTGATCTAAATTATAGAAGTTATGTGATAACCTTTTAGCCATGATTACACTGTTTATGTTCAAACATTCGTGACCCGTGAAGATCCGGGTTAGAATGAGCCTTCAGCAACCCATGCTTGTCGTAAGAGGCGATTAACGGGATCGGGTGGTCAGGCTCGCTGGCTTGGTTGACACATGTCATCAGTTCCCAGTTGTGCAGATCGATGCTCATGTTGTTGATCACTGGATTGTCTGGTCCAGACTCGATTATTATAGCTCGAATATTCCTAGTGCGGCATAAAACTAAACTCACTCACTCACTCAAACATTCGTTATATACTTCATAACACTTTATTTGCACAAACAGTGAGCATATACTAAATACAGAAATATCAATGCCCAATAAGAATGACAATGTGTAAATAATGTGTAAATACTCAAAGGCTAAAATAATCTGGAGCATTCTGTATCCTTTATCTGACAGTGTCATGTATGAACCTTACCTTGTATTCAGGTCTGACCTTGGTCCGGAGGTCGGGTATGAAGCTATCGGAATTGTGGACTCCAGCCTGCCGACAGTGGGAGTGTTTGCCAAGGCCACGGCGCTGGACACGCCTAAAGCTGCCGTAGAGGAGAGTGGGGAAGGGGTTCGCTCAGAGGCAGAACAGGTTTGTTTGTTTGTTGCTTATGTGTTTGTTTCTTGCGGTGCGTGGGTAGCCCAGTGGTTCAAGCTTTTGCTTGTCACACCAAAGATCTGGGTTCGATTCCCCACATTGGTAAAATGTGTGAGGACCATTTTCTGCTGTGATATTGCTGGAATAATGCTAAAAGCGGCGTGAATTAAACTCAGTGAGTCAGTCTTTTTTTATAACCAACTGAACAATATTCAGGTTATATGAAAATTGTTGTCTGTAAATAATCAAAGTCTCTATCGGACAATCCAATGATTAATATTGTGAGCTATGATCCATGCATTAACATCACTAAGTAGCTGCATCTGATCGTCCTATACTTTGGGCCACCTTTCACAACCAGCACAGGTAACACTTGCTGGCCGTCAGTTTTAGCCTGAAATCCCTACAGCTTTGAGGTTAGTAGAGGAAGGTTTCAGAGGCTGACGTCAAATTTTCAAAATGAGTTCCACTAATCAGGGAATGAGTGAGTGAGTATGGTTTTACGGCGCTTTTAGGAATATTCAAGCAATACCACGGCAAAGATTAGCTGATGCAACCTTCTACTAGGATTTGTTAGGCTCAGAATAGCAGTGTAACGAATAATAAATGGGCCTAAGTTTACTTCTGGTTAAGTTATGGGTGTTCTGAAGTCATGTTTAAATACGCGAGTTCTCTCAACTGATAGGTGTCTCAAGTTCTGTTCAGTTATGGATGACTCATGTTTTAGTAACTTAATGGGTGTCCTGAAATTACATTTAGGTATTCTCATGTTATCTCCCACAACTGATCTGAAATGCTCTGAGACTTTTGTTTGTCTTTCTGTATTAACTGTGACATTTCTTCTTTCAGGCGGCCAAGCCATCTTCAGTTCCTTCTCCACAACCAAAGGCCCCGGAAGAAGGCGAGGACTTTGGCAAAGGCATCGTGTTCTACCTCAAGGATAAAATCATTGTTGGCATTGTGCTGTGGAACGTTTTTAACAAGATGCCTATTGCCAGAAAGGTGAGTTATCTTTTTCTCAAGCTTTGAGGCAGAATAGGTAAAGAAATATATTTTAGAGCCAATTTAATGATTTTTGGATGGTTGAACAACATGAGAATTTGTCACTGATCTATGGAATTCTGAGGATTCCGTCTCATCAACAGTGAGGATGATTTTAAGGGTGGGGTGGGGGTCACCCATTTTGTTCTGGGGAGCTAGTGTGTGTGTGTGTGGGAGGTTCCATCAATTCTGTACACATGTACTATGGGGTCATAACAATATGTTTAAAATTATGCTTAGAAATTATGGGAAGGTGTGTGTGTGTGGGGGGGCATTGATTTTGTACATGACAAGCAGGGATGGGGGGGTGTAACTTATTTTGTACATAAATTTTAGGGGGAGTCATTCTATATTGTATATGCTTCTCCATAAAAATCATCATCACCCCCCCTAGCCATACATTATGAAGGTCCCTAATCAGAATGCAGGAATTATAATGAAGACAAAAACAATGAATTTTTCCTCTTTATTTTAGGTCCTCCGAGATGGAGCTGAAAATGAAGACCTTTATGAAGTGGCCAAATTGTTCAACATTCATGAAACATCTTCATGATAATGAATCTATTCAGTATGACTGATTGAAAATGATTGTTTTCTTCAGATGCGTGATTAATCTGAAAGTGTGCTTTCAGAGATGAGATTTTTCTGATGTATGAAATTTTTGTTTTCCTCTTTTCTCAGTTACAGTTTGCTACACATTGTCTCATCATGGATACATAAATGTTAATGGAGGATATGTTTCAATTGTGCCTACAAGTTTAGCTGTATCTAGCTTAATGTCTTCTTGTAAACAAACATTATAGTTAAGATTATTTTACCAACCCACTTGTTATACAGCCTCTAATTATTCTATTGCCATCTTTAACAAATAAGATTTAAAATTTGCACTTCAGTTGGATCTTATTCAAAATGCATGGTAAAAAGTAAAATCTTTCTTCAAACAGACAGGTCATGCTAAGTTTGAAATAAAAAAGACCATATATTTATTTAGTTGGTTTTCCAATTTTGGGGGCTAAATTCTAATGGTGGCAGTAAAAACAACAACTGAAAACAAAGTTGCAACTTGCAGGTTGGCATTGCTATGATGTACGGTGCTGTGTTTCTGCAGCTATGGTCCATGTGTGACAAAGAGTTTATTCCTTCCACACCAATTAGCATGATTGTGAAAAATACTAAAATATATTTGTTTTACTAGAATAACTATTTCGATAATTTTAATAGTGTGCCCAAATATATTTGTTCAGTCATTTGTTTTAAATTTCTGTTTTTTCTGTCATGAAAACCAATTTAAATAAAACAACATTTCTGATCCTTCATGCTGCTCAGATTACCCCAGATGAACCAGCTTACAAGTTTGCATATTACTTCTGTGTTGATTTTGTTGATTAATAATTACACTGTTACCTTGTTTATGTTTGCAAAATTGAGACCTATAGGCATGTGGAGTGTAGAAGTATGTGATCCCATGGATAAAGTATCTGCCCTCCTCTAGAGGCAGCCCACCTACTGGACAAAGAGTCTACTGAAACTGTCTTGTTGACTGAACGTCTGCCCAGACTGGGTTGTAAGAGGCAACACTTTGGAATGGGTTATGTGATCTATATAGCTGAAAAAGAGCTGAGTAAGGTATTCCACAACATACCAATGCAATGGGAAATATTAGATTTTTCTGTATGAACATACATTTCAGCATATTCAACTACATCAACTACAGTCAATAATGGTCTATATGTTTCACTGTATTTAGAACACTAGTCAACAAAATGCTCTTGTATGTCTGGGGCGGTGGGGTAGCCTAGTGGTTAAAGCGTTCGCTCGTCACGACGAAAACCCGGGTTCGATTCCCACATGGGTACAATGTGTGAAGCCCATTTCTGGTGTCCCCGCCGTGATATTGCTGGAATACTGCTAAAAGCGGCGTAAAACTAAACTCACTCACTCACTCACTCTTGTATGTCTTCAGGTGCTAGACATCCTGTATTAGTTTTCAGTCAGAAATGACAATTTAAACTGTACTACTGAGAAAGCAGGCCTTGTTGGAGATTCTCACGTTCTAGTACTCAGGGCAGTTGATTTAAATACAATATCAAATACTCGAGGATATATTATTACTCACCCGTTGAAGATATCACAGCTTAACAAATCTACAATGTTATTACACATTGTATAATAACATCACATGATGCTGCACATATGACATCATAATGGTTTACAGTTATGGCATCACAATGCTAATACCTCTGTCACAATAGTATTTGACCATGCTTGACTCACGGAAAGCTGAGAGTAATCACGTTATGTAGGCAGTTCCTATTGATTTACCTTGGAGAGTAATAAACAGAATACTAAACTTGCTTCCGTGAAATAACATTTTTATAAAACTCGTGAAAGATTTAGTATCAAACTTGCTTTCACTCATTTAATACCAGATCATTAACTCGTTTAATAAAAATAGTATTACATGGAAGGTTGTTTAGTATACTCTATTTATATACCAGCCAGCCAAACTCATTTCAACATGACTGTAGTTAAGTCTTCAACACACTGCCACCTTGTCTTACTGCAACTCTGTTTTAAGTGCCTGTTAACAGGCTTTATCTGAGACATTAGGAAGTAGTGGACAGGGATCTTTTTTAACCATATCTCTGACAGTTGTCTGACAGAGATCTCCAGAAGTTTAACTCAGGTAATTCTGTAACATTGTCACAGATGTGTTATCTGTGAACCAGGCTGTTATGATAACCTAGATTTAGTCTTTCCGATTGTTTGCTCTTGAGCAGACTTTGATCAGGTGAACTTGTACACATATATCATGTAGTTCTTACATGAGACACTGGTTCAATGAAAGATTTGTATAGTGCTAGAATCATGCACTTACATGATGCATGCAGATAACTCGAATAAATTATTTTTCAAAACATCATTGTTGTCTTTACTCCAGATTTTGAATTACCAGAATCTATGCTCATGCTGTTGATCACTGGATTGCCTGGTCCAGACTCGATTATTTACAGACCATTGTTTTACAGCTGGAATATTGCTGAGTGCGGTGCAAAGCTAAACTCACTCATGCACTGAATTAACAGAAAATTGAGGATCCAGCAACATGGGTGTTAAGTCCAGCAATGGAGATATCACATGTTGCCAATAGAATCCCTCATAAAATGTTTACCTTCAGTTATAATGTGGATTACATTTTCTCAGTAAAGTACCAATTCTAGCACTCTTTGGGGATTGAGTCACATCCAGGTTTTGAATCCGCCCCTGAGTGAGTCACCTCATCACCAGCACACAAAATCAGCAACCTAACCCATTGTGGCTTCCACTACAATGGAAATGAGACAACTTGGTCTAAATACGTACTTGCGTACCCCTCTGACAGCTGTGAACTGGTATGTTCCCATGGCCAAAGCTATGCATACACAATGCCATTTAAAAAGTGTTCAGACGTAATGTTACATTTTCACACTCTGATATTGTGGGTTCGAATCCTGTATGGGACTAGACCCCAGGAGGTACTGGAATCTGCCTTTTACTGAGAATGCCTCTTAGAAACTGGTCATGTCACAGATTAGGCTATGTGTATTCATGAACTAATTCATGAAAGGTAGAGTGTTTTGGAACTGCTATGTGAAGTTCAAAAATTATGTTACAAAGAATTTTCTTACCCATGTTATGTAGGACAGTGTTTTTCCCCTGTAAATGTATGGATATCAATTGAGAATAACCTGAGAATGACAATGCTTTTTCACTATCCTAAAGAGGACGACAGATTCTGGCTCCAAATGTGTTGTTCCGGGATAATCTTGATCTTGATCTTGAGTAACCCATGCTTGTCGCAAGAGGCAACTAACACGAAAGGGTGGTCAGGCTTCCCGGCTTGGATGACACGTCTTCGTACCCCAATGCGTAGATCGATTGCCTGGTCCAGACTCGATTATTTACTGACTGCTGCAATATAGCTGGAATATTGCCGAGTGCAGTGTAAAACTAAACTCACTCACTCACTCCAAATATGTGAATTTAATCAGACTGTCAAAGGATCTGATACAATTTTCGATAATCTTGTTGCTTATCAACATAGGGGTCAAAGCTCTAAATTTATTCCCGACTTCACCAATCCTCATGTCATCATCACGTGAGTACATCATGGTTTTACACAGACTTTTAAAAATGGGAGTCATGGTGACTCACAATATTTATTTTTGGGAGTCATTTTCAATATTTGGGAGTGATGAAAAGTTTAATATTTCTTTGTGTTAATCATTCTCAGTATGTAACTGTGTATGTCACACCACCAAATGAAACTACAGCATTGTTCAGTTCAAACTGCCAGGATTACTGTCTCCTCGGAGTTCTCTGGAACAATCTGACAATATCATTTTTTGCTTATCAAATCGATTTTATTGAACTGAGTTGTGAGGGTCACCCATAAAACTTGCGTAAGCTTGACTCGTATGATAATATTTTGAGAGTTGTTTACAAAATTGTTGCGTCGAATACGCAGGAATCACACGTCATGTAAAACCCTGGTACATGTATATTAAAACAGCATTTTCTTCCAGTTTCCAAGTCCAATACAGATTTCTCAAGATGGTTTGTGGCATTTTAGAACATTTCTTCAATCTGCCATGTGCAATAGCTTCACATCCTTGTCATATTCCATTGGCAGTAGCTCTTCAGCTAAATACTTGCCAAATTGATGAAATCTGTGTGAAGTCCATCCCAGGTTTGCTGGTTGTATTACTGTTGGTCACTAACTCCAAACATAAAATATTCTCTGTGATTTAACACTGAACTTGTTTCAATATACAGCTGTGTCAGTAAGCTTAGCAGAAGATAGAAGAAAGAAAGGCAAGGAACTTACATCTGTGACATTTCTGAAGGAAGAATCTGGTATATGTTTATTTGGCCCTTTAAGCCAGTAATTGTCTAGATTTCTAACATGCTTCGCTGAAAGATCAAACACACTGACTGTACTTTATCAGACGATAAAATTTTCATTTATCATTACATCAAGCTGTATTGATGCCAGTATGCCATTCTCAAACGTACCTACCCATGGTAACCGACATGATGCATGTCAGTCTCTTACAGTACAACCAACTCCATAGCAATTTCTTGGTTTGCAGTTGCTTCACTTGGCTGACATCACTGGTGGAAATGTTAAGTTTAACATTTTCAACAGAAAAAATGTCTCAGCTCGACTTAAACAGCGACAAGGTATACATTTGCTAACAATATCTATGTTCACAGGCCCACAATGCATTCGTAGAATGTCACTTGACTAGTCAGCTTCATCTGGATTTACTGTTCTAAACTTACGTTGGTAGCAGAAATGTGACTGTAATATTGCCCCATATGGATTACGATAATCACAGATGTAATTAGAATATAGAGAAGATATTTAACCTGAATGTAAACGGTCTTCAAACTGTTCATCATTTGTTCTCCTGGAAACACTAGTGTTAACGTAGGGGGCAGATACATCACTAGAACAGCTAATTTAGATTGACATTGTCACTTTTGTTTGTTTTTTGCTTTAGAAAAATTGTCGGTAAGTATTAAATTTGGTATCTTTGAAAAGAAATACAGTTCGATCTACCGCCGTCTATAGTGTAACAGATGTACAGATAAGCTGCGTATCTGCATAAATTACGCAAATATTTATGTGAAAACTCAATTCCTACTAAGTTTATTGCGTACAAGTACGCTTGAATTTTTGGTAAATACTCAATAAATGTGATCTTACATGTGAACACACAAAAATGTCAAATCTTAGTTTGACTAACATTTAAACTTTATTATATTTAAAAAAATAATGGAAAATGGCAAAATACCCAATTGAGTTTGAGTGAGGCGAGTACAATTTATTTGGTTCCTCAAAGGAAAAGTAGGATACCCAATTGAGATGAACACAAGCGAGTACATAACTCAATGACCAATAAAGTTATCTGTAGCTCTGGTGTAATAAAGTACAGTTTTCCCCTGAACTATTATAGTTAAAGAAAGAGGACGCTTTCATCAAAATAACATTAAAAGCACATAAAAAACACTATGGAAAATTATTTTTTCAACCGAATTTGAGCTAGTGGATTGAACACAACTTGTCTTTTCTGAAGTATGTAACAAAACAAAATCACTCAAGTTCAAAGTTTATTCTCTGCAGCTTCAGTCATACTATGGTAAGCTTTAGTATTTCAACAACAAAACAAAAATGACTCAGTCACACAATCTTAACTTACATTTTATCTGACAATTCAAGCTAACAACTTGCAGCGTATGATATTAAAAAGATTCCTGATGAAATATGTCCTCAAAGGCGATATGTGGTGCCCATTCAGTTTCAAGGATTATCACTCTTCATCTGCAAGGCTAATGTAGTCCCTGATGTGTGCTTGACAAGTCAAATAACTGCTCTAACATCGACTGAGTTAACTCTTCTTGAGTGGAGGAGTGGAATGGAGGTACACCGCTCCAGACTGGTAGAGCTGCAAAAGAAACAGAAATTGTCATAACTAACACTTTCATTAGCGGGTACATCAACCCATGGGCCCCGAGAGACCAGTGAACAGCATATTTCCCTTACCGAACACTCAATGTTAGTTTTAAACTGTTTGAAGCACGGGTATCAGATCATAATAAGGAGTACCAGACTTAGGCATCTGAACAGTATACCAGTTGCCTATTTTCATCACTGTGACTTTATTACCACAGAACCCCACACTACTGCAACAGCATTGTTATTATTGTCAACCTTTGCAAGGGTTAAACCAACTTTACCTCTTCATAAATATATTAATCACTGTAACATAAACGAGTATTGTACAGCCAATGATGTCAAAGTCAGCCACTTTCCTCCATGCCATGACTCAAACCAAAGGAAGTATTTCTTCTCTGATGTCATAATCAACAACCTGATGGTTCTAAATACAACAGTAAAGGTTGAGATGCATTTCTTTTGATTTATTTATCTAAACTGTACGATCAAAATTATTAATTGTTATGCTTAATATCCGTATTACTGGCTTTTTTAAATTCCTACTGATACAGTACAATCATATGACACATAATGGCAAGGTCTGGATATTTTTACATATTGTTAGACTTCTACTTACTATGAAAGCTGTTGCAACCAGGAACAGCGAGGAAGCTGCAATATACATGTTGTACTTGCTGTTTCTCTTGTTGTAATTCTCTTGCCAGGAACCTTCAGGAATAGGGTGGTCATTCATTGTAACACGGTTCTCAGTGACAATTTCAAGGTCACTCTTCCAGTGAGCAGGAGCCTGGCCCCCCATGCAGCGAACTGCTTGCAATCCTGAATTGAACATGGGAGAGATTATTGGGATCATACAATGTGAATTTGGGGTAAAAATTAACTTAACAAAGATATCAGTCATCAAAAACCTTTTCAACTGTGGAAAGCTTGAACATAGGTATTAATCTTACTATCTGAAAAATTATAATGCCTCTTAATCTTGCATTGTTTGTATGTTCCTGTTACACTAAACCCGTGAAGATCCGGGTTAGAATTGGTCCTCAGCAACCCATGCTTGTTATAAGAGGCGACTAATGTGATTGGTTGGTCAGACTCGCTGACTTCTTGGTTGACACGTCATCGCATCCCAGTCATAATTAGTTTCCATACATTTATTCATCACAAACAGGAATGTGTCATGCTTGTTTACCATTGACAACCTTGGCCTTGATCATTTCCGCACTGAAAAGAGCCAGGAATCTGATTGGACAGAGTTTATTTATAGCCAATCTGATTGCTGACTCTTGCAGGTCAAGGCCAATGTTGTCAATGGTGAACGGACACAACACAAACCTGCTTGTGATGAATAAGATGTCTGTAAACTATCCTATCGCCTTATTTTCCGATTGTCATATGTTTTTGATCTGCCATTACGATTCCCGCTTCTAGCGCAAAAATGCAAGAAAATCCATGAGAAGCAGCCCGAATGACAACAAGGCGATACCTGCTATCGTTCTGACATGAATATGCTATGAATAAAGTTTCCATGTGTAGGCAACAGTTAAAAACCCAGAAAAGATTAATTTTAACCCAGGGATCATTAATGCAATATCTATCTCATGATCAAATGCATAAAATCTTTACTCCATTATGCAATTAACATTTTCTCTGCTTACTGGCAAACAAGGATAAGTTGGACAGGCGCAGAGAACGAGTTTACAAGAAGTAGGCAGTGCACGACTGAGCAAACCCATTTGGTTTGTGAAAGGTAGAGCAGATGTAGGCTAGTGCACGTGCAGTGCATGACGCTGAAATTGATAGCTTGCTCATAAGACTCGTGTGGTCGGTGTAGGCAAGTGAGTTTGTTCAAAATTGTCTCTGTTTACCCAGCAGGAAAATGGGTACCCGGTGGAAAAAAGTCATATGACTATAACCTTCTAGCGCCTAACAGGCAGCTTGGGTTATCCGGGGTAATAATGGCCTTGATTGTTAGCTCTATGAGCATACCTAGTGTGGAGTTTGGCGCTATATAAATGGACACATTATTATTATTATTACTACACTTGATCGCGAACAACCTGGGGCCTCGCCAGTGGGAAGCACTCATACATGCTAATACGGGTCAGTTGTCAGGTCAGTGCTCAACTTATCCTTGTTTGCCAGTAGTTAGTGCCATACCTCACAAGATCACGTTACTAATCATGTGACCATGCTGATAGATATATGTTTATGGCACGCCAAAATCACAAAATTTATGACAGTCAATCGGCAATAAATTGCAAAAGTTTTGTTTAAACAAAATTGTTATTTGCAGAAGGTTATCAATGCAAGAAAGGCCAATTACAGGCAATGCAATCACGAGGCTCTAGATAATGCTCGTAAGGCTGTAGTTGGACAATGAATGCCAACATGGGCGTACTGCTCAGACCTTCTGTACCATATGCTATTCTACAGGATAAATTAAAATGAAACCTACTTCCGTTGGGATTTTGTTTTCAGCTACAGTTAAAACTATTTTGGAGAGATATAGGAGGGGAAATTGTTTATTATCTCTACAATGTGACGCATTCCACTGTATAGTGCGAGTGTTTTGATACAATGGGGAGGCCCTACTCAACATCGCTAAATATATACAGACAACGAAAAGATCGAAAACATTTGACGTCACATCAGACAAGACCTTGAGATTGCATCGACTGCTATGGCGGGTTACTGATAGAAAACGAATGATATGCTTGAGAATAAAACAGCTTATGAAATAAATTATCTTGTCTAAAGGTAGGCTGAACTACAGAAGCGCTGAAGGGACCTGATGAAATACAATTTATCTTGAGCGCACAAGGTAGTATGTTGAGCGCACAAGTTAGTATGTTGAGCGCACAAGTTAATATCTTAAGCACACAAGTTAGTGATCTTGAGTGCACAAGTTAATGTATTGAGCGCACAGGTTAGTATGTTGAGCGCTCAAGTATCTTGAGATACACTTCTCCATAAGCAGTTCATGTCGAAGCAACTGAGGAGCGGAAACGCAAGCTGATTAATGCTTATTTCAGTCTTGGGTTCCAATACAAAGATATAGCACATCCTCTTGTAAAAAAATCATGGTATGGTATAGTACGCCACTTGAAGCGTATTCTGAGGTGTATGTCCCTCTTTTGCACCAGATACCAGATTTGCTGATGTTACAGTGAGTGAGTGCGTGAGTGAGTGAGTACAGTTTAACCATGAGGCTACCCCACCACCCAGCTGATGTTGTAGCCTGTATTGCGGACAACTTTGACGATCTGGACAAAGACATGGTTATCGTTGGATGCATTTAAATAAAAAAAATGTATCCAATGCAGTTTAATCGTGAAACAGGATTGGGCAGAAAATCACCGGACTTGGTCACTGAAACTGAAAGTAGACCAGTGATCTGTCGCTTATCATCCATGCCTGAGATGGTCACTTGTTTCGTCCCACGTTCTTCCATTGTCCAGTCACCACCAGGAAGGAGAGAGAGGCCAGTCTGGTCCCAGTTGACGACTAGGTTATCGGGGATGGCACTCTGGTCGATGACATTCTGTACTCAAATCAGGGATTTCCTGTGACTGTGAGTAAGCAATGCATGCTGCCTGACAGGTTAAGCCACTCTGGTTCTTTTCATTGCTATTAGTGGCGGCCTAAGAGACAGCTGGCAGTTCTGGCAATTACTGATTGCACGAATAATGGACCGTGCGATGTAGTCTAAACTGTCAATTCCGCGAAATTTGCACCAAGCGAAAAAAAGTATGTTTACAGCATACATAATAAAGACTTAGCACAAAACAAGTTATCCAAGCTTTACACTAGTGTTCATAATACTTTGTACCAATATTAGAAGTCAGTAAAAACACTATTCATCGCTGCAATAAACTCCTACTCATGTTTATGTTTTAATTCTTATTATGACAGTACACATACCTGGGCCTGCTTTATGTAATAAAGCAAAAAAGTGGTAAAATCAGTTACAAAGAATAGCATTGACGAGCATGAAGACGATAAATGTTTACATAAACATTATCAATGTTCATGATACATTTGCATACTTTTACATAGTCTCATCATAAGGACATAAGCACCTAGTTAACTCTGGCTTTGCATCATTTGAAATCTTCCAAAAAGGATATAAGTTTGTAGATATTGCCAGCAATCAAGCAAACGTGAGTTCCATTAATGCCATTAGATGCTAAACACAAGGCACTAACTTGTGCGCTCAAGATAACTAACTCGTGCGCTCAAGATAAATTTTATTTCATCAGGTCCCTGAACGATATCAACAAATTGTATTTATATTTTTTTCACAAAATATTTTACCGTTATCCAATCGAAAACCCAATACGCCACGATAATTATGACAGTTAGGTGCAAGTGACTCTGAAGGAATGGTGTCTAGCACGCTGACAGGTGCCATCAGTTCTGCAGGATTTGGTGCATAGAGTTTGTGAATGCAATAAAATAAACAAGAGTCTTGGTAAGTTAGCAGTACAAATCCTGAGCAGGGATTTTGGCTCGGAATTGAGAAATCATGATGTTTTTTAAGTTTCTGATGACGCAGCTCCCAAAGTACTGCTTTAATCTTTGTGATGTATGCTTCATTTTGTTGGTAAATTTACTGGAATGAAATGCGTGCATTGGAAAGACCTCCACCTGTATCCCCCCATTACATTTCATTCTGGTCAAATCATAACACCTGAATAAATATTCCTCATCTGATAAGGATGAGTTTTAACATGTTTCTTTAATTGTATCTGAACATACTGAAAGACATATCCAACTCCTAAAAATGCCACTCAAAGAAACTTTTTTCCGTATCGTTAAAATCTAGTGGGGATACGGGCGTAAGTCCTACCTTCCTTTTATATTGTCCTAAGAACTCGGCATCAGTGACGGTATAAACGTTGGCTGTAGGTGAATTCTTAACCAAAACCGGTTAGTAGACGTGGAAATCCGGTGGATTCGTAGACGGATTGAGCGGTGGATTGCTAGACGTTATTAAAATGGGAAAAGTTCATCCTCAATGATGAAGAAAATCGACGAAAAGTGTTTGCATTTTGTGAAATAAATAAAATATATCAGGTAAGTATGATCGGCAGTGAAAATATCCTTAAATAATAAAATAACAAAATATGCTTCACAGTGGTCCATGTCCGACAAATTCCGACAAATCATAGGCCGCTAATATATTAAATTCAGTTGTGTAAAATTAAAAGATATGTATTAGGTAAGTATCGTCATTCAACGTTAAACTACGCAGACCAGCAGAGAAGTAGCAGAAAACACTTATTAAGAAAACACTTACATCTCCCACACAGAGTATTTCGCAATCAAAACAACTCACCACTTCCTAATTAACATTCCCAACAACTCAGTGAAACCTGTTAATCCTCCCACAACAATGAAACCAGTCTGCAATTATGATGAGTAGACTAATTTTGTCTAATCCGCCGACAAAGTTTACCTGTACACACACTTCTGGTATATAAACCTCAAGAAGGTAAGAAGAAATCATTCTGCATCAACCATGGCTCTATGGCGTTGTATGTGTGAAAGAAGTGTGTCCGAGACAACATGCCATCCAGTGCGACAGCTGCGATCAGTGGCAGCATCGCCTTTGCGACACAGGGATAGACATCGCAACCTACCGACAGATGACGAAAGGGCACCTGCAGATGGACTTCATCTGTAAGAGATGTTCACTACCCCCGCCGTCTCCACCTTCTCCGACTCTTCCTCTGTCCCCGACCCTGCCTCTCTCTCCACCATCGTCACCGAACCCTACATCACCTACATCGCCCGTGGACTCATCATTCGACCTCACTGCCGCCACCATCATCGCAACAGATGATGTATTCGAGGAGTGAATTTTATTCATTTCATTATTCATTATTATTTCATTTCAGTTAGATAACAACTTCGTTATACACATTCTAAGTAAAAATCAAACTTAATATATACTATTATTCAATTATTTATACACGTCTACGAAATCACCGTCTATGAAACAGTCTGGGTTACGAATTCACCGCGTCTACGAACTGGTTCTGTCTACGAAATCACCGTATCCCTAAACGTTGATGCCATTTTTTTGCGCAAGAAGTACCTGTGATTGAACCATCGATTTACGTTCTAAAATGTTTCGATGATCAGGCCAAGTATATCCACTGAACAGTTGTTGTCGGGAGTACTGCACTTTACCGGGCACACTTTTTTTAGATTAATTAGCGCTGCTGGGGTTCCCTAACCCTAACCCTAAGGATCGTAAAGGGTCCCTAACCCTAAGGATCGTAAAGGGTGGCATACCCTAACTCTGAGGATCGTAAAATGACAGCGAGGGCTGTGCCCGGTAAAGTACATTCGAGCCTTGTTGTCATTGGAATTTTTCTCTAATAATCATGTTCAATGATGTCATGAAACTTATCGTTCAGATCCATTACATGCCGGTATACTTTGAAAAGCAGCTGTCCACATAAACTGTTACGGAAGCAAACCAACAGAAAGCACATAGGAATTCAAAAGATAACATTCTTAATATCATAAACATACGCGCAACAGAGGATGTGGCAGCTCTGGCTGCTGGCAAAATTCTGGACAACATTTTGGTTATGGTACGTGCGTGACCTCCAACAGTCCGTCCTTCTGTCAATGGCTGATGGCAGAACCGCACAAAAGAATTACAACAGAGGATTAAATTTTAAAACAGTAAAAACGTAACAATCACAAAACAGTGAGGGAGTGTAAAACAATATACTGATTTGTTTCTCGTACTTTATTTACTTGAAGGTTTGAAGAGATTTTTACTGCATTTAGACTAGTTTACCCACATTAAAACCTTTGCGTCCCCAGCCGATATATGAAAAGACAGGACCCAGCCAGTTACTGCGGGATTGTGTTGTATAAAAGCGCCCCCTAGGTTCCATAAAAATAGCAAAATAACTAAATACAGCAAGAGTACCGAGACTTAAATGATAAGAAGATGGATCGCTTGGAATGGAGTGACGGATCTCTAATTGGCGGAGAGACGTTAGTAGAGCAACAGACAGGCGTTTGTCTTTACGACGGACATGACAAGGTAAGGCTTTCGATTTATACATGGAGATTTTATGTTGCTTCAATCTTGTGGAATGTGAATTGCTATTAACATGATTAAGGCCAAGTATGTCGAGGAGACAAGTAAACTTACAAAACCTACGTTGAACAGCTTATGTGGTGACCGGTTGTTGTGACCTTTCCTGGGCTAATTGAACGATGTACATTGGGTGACTCTGAAGATGACTCCATGGTGAGATGTAAACAAGACCCAAGAGTTATCCGTCTTAACAAGAACTTGCCTGACACTTGGCTTGTGTTGTGCAATGTCCGATTTCTTTGTTATTTTATTGCTCAAGCTTGTGTCAGTGTGGTAACTTGGTAGTTCCATATGGGTCTATTTGTCATTTATCTCAAAACATTGGTATGAACAGTTGTGCCATTCTACTTGTATAAAATGCATACAAGGTGTGATGAGGGGGTTAGCAGTGTGTTGTCAATAAGTGGGAATACTGTGACAACTGGAAATATTGACAAAGAATATCCAACAGAATTGTTGTGTGAACAAACGATGGCTTCCGAAGCTGAGAGTGGCAGTGTGGATATGGTGGAACTAGATGGATATGACCTGATAGAGCAAATAACGGCAGCAATTAAAAAAAAGGGTGAGGTGAGATTTCACTGTCTGCTACAGCAAATCTCTATGTGTAAGACCAATAAGAAGTATTTCAAGCAAGAAAGTCGTTCTTTGATGGCTACATCTGTTATGTGTGACTCCGAGAATGCAGTTCGACATTTAACCAAAGCAGGTGCTCAGAGATCTAACTTGAATTCTTATGGAGATACCCCCATCCTGATGGCAATTCGACACAACAAGATGTCTGTTTTGAAGTCTTTAATAGAGCTAAAGCAAGACATCAATTCGAAGAACAAGCTTGGCCATTTCCCCTTGTTTTTGGCAGCAGAAATGAATCGTGCAGATGTTGTGAAGTTATTAATTAAAGCTGGGGCAAATGTCAACATGAAAATGGGAAGGGTGAAGATGATTAGTGAAGACTATATGCGAGAAAACAGAGTTTCAGCACCAGGGGACTCAGTTGCTCACATAATTGTTCGCAAAATTGTGTATGAAAAGTCAAAAGAATTCTGTGACACTGAGTTATATGAGACATATCGTGAAATGTTATTTGCCATTCTTGATGAAAGAAGCTTTGACTTTGTAAAGTATTGTAACTCAATACTGGATGAAATGATTCTGAAGAGGGTAGATGATGAAGATATTTACAAAAGATTACTACGAGATGATTGCCAAATCAATGTAGCTCGTCCTTACCATTTCCTGTGTACCCTGGACTCAAAAACCTGTGTCATTCTACTTGACCACTTGAAAAAACAACAACCAAATGTTGACATTCTGTGTGAGGGTTCATTTACTGCTCTGGCTGTTGCCTGTGAACAGTTGAATGTTGATGCAGTTGAATGGCTGTTGCTAAATGGTGCCGATCCAAACTCTCGAACATCAAAACCAACTCACAGATTTAAATTCATCCATACCTTTGAGTTTGCATTTATGGGTGAAAGTCAGTATGGCACATCATTAACCCCAATGCACATTGCAGTATGTCTGACACTGTCAGGGTATTCGGAGGACATCGCATATAAGCAATGCAAGATTATAAAGTTGTTGATAAAATATGGTGCTGATGTGAATGCAAGATCTTCTAAGGGTTATACAGTTTTGAACAGTGCTGTGAAGGCTATGACTACAAGAATTCCTTTCAGTTTACGAGTTGTTATGTCAGAAGAAGCTGTTTCAGTGATATATCTGCTTTTACAAGCTGGGGCCAATCCAGATTCCTCTTTTGTAAATCACACTTATCCAAATCCAAGGAAAGTTACATTAACTATGGAGACCTGTACAGGCCAGGCATGTAAACACATTATTCTCATGATGTTTGAGATGTCCTTCTCTCTTGGGCGGGAAACAGCATTGCCAATCTCTGAAATCGTGCGTCATTTTCGTCGTCTTGGAGACATGATTTCAGATGAGACGATTGACCGCTGTTTCTGTCAGCCACGGACGTTGCTGTCTCAGTGTCGTAAGGTGATACTGGACAGATGTAAAGCCTGTCATTTGATGGAGGTTGAAAAGCACTTTACTATGTTACCTGTCGTAGTACAGGACTATTTGTCTTTGAAAGATTTACTGGATTTCACAAAATGAAATGGATTACCATTTCTGTCTGCACTTCAACCATCTGTGGTTTTTTGATGGCAGCCTGGCAATGTATCGGGTTTCAAATACCGAGACTGTTGTATACTGAGCCTACCAGACCAAGTAGAATTTGTGAGTAAAGTTAGAGGCCATTAATGCTGCATTTCCATGATGGAACCTAGATTCAGGGGACTACTTCAGGGTTTTAAGCAATGCGCAAATGTGCATCCTCTACACACAAATGTAGACAAAGCAGGGGTGGAAATAACCCATTGCCCAGTTGATATTCCAATGTTAATTATGTTGTTTATTTAAAAAATCAACTAGATAACGGCCAGTATAGTGGAAAAATTATCAGGGCAAGTGATTTTACATGTGCCACTGTACCGGAGTACGCTAGCAATTTTAAAGTTATTTCCACCCCTGCACAGAAAAAATTCTTGCATCCAGAGAGTCGCACAATATTATTCATTGTACTGACAACACATCTATGACCTTTGTGAAGTGTTTGGTTGTTTCAGAGCAATTACCAATACCATGGTTACGTGTATCATTTCATCCATCAGTCCACATAATCAATGATTCATTCCAGGCTCTAAAGAATAATCAAAACATACAGCTCTCTACACAGAGAAAGTATTGGGTTACTTCACAGGACCCTCACATTGCCTGGAAGGACCACTGCTATACTAGTACCGTATATGACCGTCTATAAGCCGAATTTTGAGGACCAAAAAAAGCCGTCTGTAGAAGGGGGTCGTCTTATCCATGAGTTACACTTTCGTCAAACTTTTTTCCAGGGGTAAAAAAACAACATCGTATCACTTCGCTTGAACAAACAACAGAAGACGACTTTGTCAGTAGAGACGTCAAATTTGCAATTAAACATCACTAGACAAGATTAATTACCATTTAAGTTATAAGTTGTTTTTGCTGGGCATTGTTTTATTTGCAGGGATTAAGATTACCGTGCGTATTTGTCTCATACACAAAGCCGGAAATAGCAATCAGCTGTGCACACGCTTTCCGCTTAACAAGTTCAAACATGCACAATAATATAACGGGACGAATTCTGACGCAGTCATCAGTAAAATATAATACAGAATACCGTTATTTAACCCAAAGAAATATATCCTAGCATTGTGTAATTTTAGTTACAGTTTTTGCTCTATAAATTAATTAAGATTACCGTATGCGATTTGTCTCTGCACACAAAGCCGAAATAGCAATCAGCTGTGCACATCGCTTCAAACAAGTTCAAACATGCACAATAATATAACGGGATGAATTCTATTGATTGAATACTATTATTTAACCCAAAGAAATATATCCTAGCATTGTGTAATAGTTTTATGTAAAAATATATAATCAACACTAAGGTTATACGGACCATCATGAACGGTAAGCACGCGACATGGAACGAGGCGGCAAATCAGTTTGTGATTGTTGAATGGGGTAAAATAAGCAAGCCAGTTTGTTGCTACAATAAATATGATATTTAGAGAAGCAAAATATATTATGCATTTTCTGTCAACTACACTTCGTTTCGATCTGTGAGTAGACACAATATATATGACAGTGAATTCTTTGAATAATGTGGATCGACTTACAGTATGAGGAGGACAGTGACACGGAATTTGATGGGTTTACGGCCGATGACTTGTGAAAATCTCAGAACTCTCTTGCAGAAATGTCAGTGTTTATTGTTAGTGGACTATTTTTCTTATTGTCATATATATATAGATGAAATATGGACACTTAAATAATATATTTTGAAACAAAAGTTGACTTCAGTTTTTATTTACCGATGGTACTTTTTCTCTCCATACTCACCGATTTCACAAAATGGCGTCTCGTTGTTGATGCAAGCAGTGATCGTCGGGATATAAAAGGAACACAAACACATGTTGCCACAATACAATCGGGTAATCTTTATTATGTAATATTCTCACCAACACTTACGCTGTATATCCACTTTCCAAATGGCGTCTCGTTGTTGATGCAAGCAGTGATCGTTAAAAAAAGGTAAACAAACACCGGTAATCTTTATTATGTAATATTCTCGTAATGGTGTCTCGTCGTTGATGGAACATACTTACCGGGTACTCTGGTCTCTGTTAGCCGCGACCCATCGCGGGGGGTCGGCCTATCCATGAGAGATATGATTTTGACACTGATTTTGAGGGTCAAGTTTGGGGGTCGGCTTATCCATGGGATCGGCTTATAGACGGTCATATACGGTATATGATATAAAGTGAAGTTCTGCATATACTCAATCTGGGCTGGACAACCAGAACTGACAAGACCGATCAAAATTACATTGACCAACAAAACTAAGGGTCCAGAGAAGTGATGAATTGTGTACTGTGCTGAACCTTATGAGTTAGCTATTCAGGGTTCGAAGTACCCCATATATTAGTGTGCCATGGCACGGTAAATATTGAAATGGCACGGATAAAAAATGTTCTTGGTGCCATTATGGCACATCTAACTTTTTAGATACATAACACACCTTTGGACTCTTAATAACTAAACAAAACACTTATGCGAAATGACAACCAGGCAAAAACATTTATTGACTTTATCGCCCAGGATATCACTGGAATTATGATGGTTCATGTAAAGAAGTCTGGTTGTTTCTTCATTTAGAGTGTTGGGAGTACTGATAGTTCTGTTATTGAAGAGAAAGTTGTGTATGCTAGATATCTAGAAAAATGTGAACCTCTCACACAATTCTTAGCTATTAAAGGTGTTGGGAAAGCAGAACAAATGAAACATAAGAAAGCCATCTTAAACAGAAGACATATCAGTGATAACAGAAAACAGGT